CTGTTTCTATCTATATGGTGAATTTAGCTGATCAGAAGTGAACTTTCTCCAATGATCACAAGAGGGCAGCATTGTACAAGTGTTCTTGTGGCAGTGTGGGTACATATTTTGATGATAAAGCTAAAAAGATTCACAAAAAAACTTGTTTAAATTTACATGTACATTTGCTTCTGTTCACCTGATGGTGTTATCATTTGCAACTGTAAATGGCACTAATAGTTGTATCATTGTTATTTTACTGGACATTTATAGTGCCAACAGTTTGTGCAGCACTGATTGTGTTTTAATAGATGGATTTTTTCTTCACTCTTAAGCTGGATGTTCATGGCTTGAATTTCATCTGCTTGTCAGCACCACCTGGCCAGACAAACTTTGATTAAAAAAATCGAAGGAGACCTGTGGGAAATTGTCAGCCAAACAGTGAGTGCTTCCAGTCAGATGCACTCACTATTTCAGTGCTGTCTGACTACACTAGCTGGCAATGGAGGCTCCTTTCATCCGTATGGTTTAGAGTGGATGGAGGACTCTATTAGAAATTTGCAGCCTCGTCCACAGGCATTTTCTATGCATCTTCATGCAGGCAGTCCCATTCATGTCAATTGGAAGCTGCACAGACACAGTGACTGCTCCTAATGTGACAGTTGTGCGAATGTGGGTGCGTGCAGTTATGGGTCCCGGAACACACACTGTCTGCGTTTGCACCCACACAGCTGTCATATTGGGAGCAGTGGCAGTGTCCATGCAGCTGCTGTGTCCCTAATGACATGAATGGGACTGCATGCACAGGGGTGCACAGAACACTTGTACGTCCCCGTGTGGGCAAACACAGCACTCGCATGGGCTTACACTTAAGTATGCCCATGTGAACAAGATCTATGTGTGTATGGCTAGCTTTAGGCTTCATTCATGAAGACCAATTTTTTGCCTGATGCAGTTCCCATTGAAAATCCATTCTCTGCATTAAGGTAAGAAAACACTCCACTATCTGTTGTATCCACCTCCCATCCTTAAACACATACCTGGCTTCATGCAGCCACCCAAGCGCACTCCCCTCCCTTCCTGCTTCCACAGGAGAAACTGAGGGCAGTGGAACCATTGACTTCTACCGCTGTCAGGCATTTTTTTTATTTCACTTTAATTTCACCTTAATAATGCATCCAAGCCTGCTGCAGCTGTGTTACTATCGAAATGCACAAATCTTTTTTTTTTTTTTTAGTCTAAATTCTGAATAACCTATTGCAGCCTCAACGTGCACACAGACCACCTTACATTGCAAGTAGTCCTGCATCACCAATATGATTCAGGCTTCCAAGTCAGCTTTAAATATTTTTGTAAGCAGTGAGAAACAGCTTAGCACTTACAGTTTCTTTTTTTGCATCTTGTATTCTGTATGTGAGAGGCAGCAAAGTGGGTGTTTCAGCCTCACTATCTGATGCCAAATTTCAAATAAAAAAAGATTGGTCTGATCAGTTGAATTACAGCTACAGTGATGTGCAAGTCTAAGGCAGGTGTGAAAAACTAAAACTAAAAAAAAATATAGCCATGTCTTAAATATTAAAAAAAAATCTTTGTTGCGCAAGTCCATTCTGTCCTTGACCAAAGACCAGAGGAACTGGTGGAGTTTGTCTTTTTGGCAGCACAGCAGACCAAGGCCTGGTGCCAATCATTCATTAACTTTGCTGAGGTTAAACAGCGCCTTATGGGAACTGTGGTGCACGAGAAACTCATGTCTATACCCATGGGCTCCCATTCAAAGTTCCTTATGGTTCGGGACCCTTGGATTACCTTCAATGACTGTTAAAGTCTGGCCCACTCTCTGCTATTGATGTGACTGCTTGCATGGTCCACCCTGAGATGGCACATTGGATTGAACCGCATAGGACATTCTTTCTCCTTCTTTTCCTTTTTTCCCCACAGGCAAGTCCCTCTTCCCCCTGGTTCTCTCCCCCTCTACCCTTCTCAGGCCACCTAAACTGGTTGGTGGTCCTCCTATGCTCTTCCCTCTCTTCTGGCTTCTGGACCTCCTGTCCTGGGAGTCGGAGCCCTTTCCTCCTCCCCGCCCTGTGTTTTTGTTCGCTGAAGGGCTAGAGAAGGGTACAATAATGAGTGTGTGCAGGCAACAGTGTAGCACATCTGGCACATTTTCCTTTCCCATCGTTGTTGTAAGATTCAGAATTTGAAGCTGAACTACACTGCATTTGAGTACCACAAACCAAAAATATTAAATTCATTTTTAATATTCAGAGCAAACGCACCCATACATCCATGTCTCCATACTTTATTTTGTTGGGAAATCACTTTGAAAAACACCCCCTTAGCATTTCTGGCTTTGGCCATCTTAAGTAAAGGCAGATGATTCATGTAATCTTTACTTTCAAGAATCCATCTGCCCTTAAAGAAAATGTAAACTCAATATTTCATATTCCTGATATGTGCCTGCTGTACCCTGCACTTGTATGAAAAAGTATATTGTACTCTTTGTATTGTTTCCTTTGTGTGAAATCTTTGGTGTTCCTGTCAGTTCCTCTGCTTTCCTAATAAAAGCTGTCCACACTAGGGATGAGAGCACAGCATGGTCAGTTTTGTAGCTGTGCTGTGTTCTCCTCCAATGATCAGACCTCTGCTGACACCAAAGCCCCCTGCACAGCCATTCACTGGGAAGATTAGTGTTCTGCTGTTTCTCTTCCCTGAGCTCCTTACGCAGCTGAGAACAGAAGGAATGTGATCACTTATAAAAAAGGGGGGAAAAAAAGTATTTATAGTGTTTTTTTATATGTATACACAAATGTTTCACAAATGTTTTTGTTTTAAACTGAATGGGTTTTTTTTACACACTTTACATTTTAACTCAGGCATGCAGGCCGAGGGTGTGATTAGCTGAGAAATTACCTCCTCCCCTCCTGAACACTCCTGGGATGTATGACATTGTTTGTCTAGGCCTGGAAACCAGGAATTAACTAAAGAAATTTAAAAAAAAAGTTTGTAACAAGTAAATATACAATGTTTTATTTTCATACCTATTTACTAGCACTGTCAGAACAATAGTCAATGTTAATTGAGAGAGAGAAGATTAATTTTAAAAAACAAGTGAAAATAAGGGGGGATCAAGGTGGCAAGATAGTGAATGCTGCCATTAAAGCGATAGTAAACTTCAAAAGAAAAAGAAAAAAAACTTTTCCCATTAAAGGCAAAGTTATAATGTGCTAGTATGCATTGCATAGTAGCACACTATTTGAAACTTACCTTAAAATGAAGCTGTCCAGCAGCGCACTTCTACTGTCCCCAATCCATCTGCTGATACTACAGAGCGCCAGAAGACACTCTGCACATGCTCAGTTTTTTTTTTTTTTTTTTGGGGGGGGGGGGTTGCACGGGATCGGCACAGGGCCAATCAGCACTGTCCAGACAGAGGGTCAGGGGTCATGCAGCCTCATAGGACAGTCAGAGCAGAATGAAAACTCCTCTTACAAGCGTTAACCAGTGTTCAGCCAGACACTGGTAGAAGTCACAAGACTGCTGGTGAGAAAAGGCATTTAGCAGTTTGTATTTACTAGCATAATTGCATAACACTTTGTGTAATTGATGTGGTTTTGTGTAATTTCTCCTGATTCATTCTGGATAACCTAATACAATGTAAACAGAACACTTTTTACAAATTTTTATTTTGCATTATATAACAAAATATTGGACACACTGATTTGAAATCACAAACATAAAAAAATAAAAAGAACATACAATGTCTAAAGCAGGAATTGCAGTCTTTGGGCACCAAAGCATGTGCCTGAGTCAGACAGAAATGACATAGTGCAGAACATTTTTAGTAAACTTTCAAGGACTACCAAAGTATAAATCTACTGCATTTAAATATTTCCAAATATCACTAAATGTGTTTGTTACAGAAATGATACCAGACATAGTAAAGCAGTGTATATTATAAAGCAGTCCAATCTAAAAATGACTTTGTCATTGACAAGCCTACAGCATTGTCACTTTCTGCATTTTCTGAAATTCTAATGTGTTTAATTGAAGTTGTATGTTATGGCTTATCTTAGGCTAGGTTCAGACTAGTGCAGCTGCATCTTCATCAGATTTTCAGCTCAATTTTGTAGTGTGTTTTTCATCCAGGTGCGTTTTTGCAGGAGAGGGACACTACACAAAACTGCCAAAACGCGTGAAAGACATGCACATGCGTTTTGGTGTGTTTACATTGCAATCTATGAGGCACAAAATTGCTCTACTTGACACCAAAGTAGCACCTGTACTTTCCCCAAAGTCACATTGCAGTTGCGTGAATAGGCACTATTGAATTCAATGTAAGTCACCCAAGTCACTTAGTGTTTACCATCCCTAAATGAAAACTAGAAAAAGGATAATTACGATACATTTGTCTTCCTATTATTGCTTGTTTTTTCCATTATTGACTTCAGTCATCTTTGTCACGAATGTTAGACAGGAAATTGTCCTGTACAGAAATCTACATTTTATTTTTCACACTGTAGTTTATATTCCCATTAGTTATGTACACCATGTATCTTTATTTAAATGTCATAAATTGTGAATTAGATTTCTAAAGTTAAATTATATTTAGTGTGGTACGTGCTTTGTGCTTATGCAACTATTTACAGTTTTCAAAGCTGGTAACAGTGCAGTGAATTTTTTAACAGTAAAAATATAAATGCAAAACTACATAATAGGCTGTGTGTACCCCTATGGCTGAGATCATTTTTGGAAACGTTACTTTTGCAAAATATCAGCAGCTAAACAGAAACAGCTGTTTGGAAATCGTTTTACTTAAGTCAAATCCCTAATTTGTCTGGTTTTGTCTGTGGATTTATTTTAATACCACTAGTTAAATGATCTCCTCTCCCAGGGATTTCTGTTTTTGCATTACTGATGAACTTTTTATATCATCTGAAAGCACATTAACTAATAAATTCCATGTTCAATCCTAAAATATGACGGGCTTACACTTAAGCCTTGCAATTTAAACTAACTGCAATTTAAGCCTTTGGGTAGAGAGTGACTGCGTCATATCCTTCTGGAGGTCTCATCCGTGCTCTTGCATGGGCTTCACAGTACAGCTGGCCCTCCACAAAGAAATATCCTTTCTGTTTCAGGTTTAGGTTGCAGTCTGCACAAACAAAGCAGTCAGGGTGACGGAACTTGTCTCGGGCCTTCACCACAGTGCCTCTGTGTGGTAATAAAAGAAGAGAAATAGTGCATGAAACAAGTTTGCCTCACTGTGTCATTTTTAAAGAGGGACTCACCCTACCAAAGTTAAAGAATATGTAAATACAACATTTCATATTCCTTATATGTGCCTGCTGTACCATGTACTGGACTTGTATGAAAAAGTATCCTGTTCTCTTTGTACTGCTTCCTTTGTGTGAAATCCCAGGTGTTCCTGCCAGTCCCTCTGCTTTCCTGGTAAAAACTGACTACATGAGTCATGTAGCTCTTATGCAACTGAGAACAGAGGGCATGTATTCACCTAAAAAAAAAAGGGGGGGGGGGGGGGGGGCGGGAGGGTATAGATAATGTGTTATAAATGTATACACAAATGTTTTGCTTTTCATTTCTATTGTAAACTGAATGGGTTGTTTTACAAGGTGAGGGTTTACAATCACTTTAGACTAAATCCTCTCTATTAATATTATTATTATAATACAAGATGTATATAGTGCCAACAGTTTTTGCAGCACTTTACAACATGAGGGCAGACAGTACAATTACAATATAATATCATACATTAGGAATCAGAGGGCCCTGCTAGCTCTAATAATTGTTCCTATATAGCAATTTAAAAAAAAAAAAACATACTTACTAGTCCATAGAGTCTAGCATTGTCTTCCTTGCAGCCGAGGTTCTCCTTGTGCTGCTCCATTTCTGAGCTGCCATCTTAAAATTTGCTATGGTTGTACAGACATGCCGCTGGTCTCTAGTAGGCATTTGGGACCAAATACCTGGCAGAGACCATTGGCATGTTTGCGCATGCGTAGGATTTCACAGCATGCATGCTCCTCTCACTCAAACACTGCCTCCTGGGATGTGCAACATCTTTGAAGACACCCTTTTGAATGAAACTTATCAGCTGGAGCTGAGCATACCCTGCTGGGAGTTGCGGCGGTACCCTGAGCTATATTGTTTTTGACAAAGTGTATCCTTGGTGTTGATTTGTAAGTGCAATACTTTTATTAATAAATGCCTAACGTAGGCTTACTGCACTATGGGGCTTTTCCTTGCTTTTAACCGGTATTCATTATCGAGAGTGATTTTCATCAGCTGGAGTCTGTTTTTGATTACTATTGGATGGATGATGTTTTGAGCAGGATAGACCGAGTCATCTAGGCTTTATTAAAGAGCGCGAGTGAATCTCTTTTTGAGATCTAAATCTCTGGTAACTGCTATCTATGATTAGTTCCATCTCAGCACCAGAACACTGGATTACTAGAGTGGAAATCTCTCTGCACTGTAGCACTTTTTTGCTAGTTTTGGGAAATTAAGATTTATGCACTATTCAGTTAAGTTGCACCCTTTTGGACTGTTTGTTTTACTGTATATATATTTGGATTATATATATAAACACAAGCACTTGTTGTAATATTGTGATTATTGTATCTCTTCTGCACATGTAAAGTACTTTGTTTAATTTGTTTCATCTAGATATATATATATATATATATATATATATATATATATATATATAATTATAAAAAATAGTTATCTGCGCAGGAGTTTTTAATGGGGCAAGCATACTTATTTTGATAGTAGTAAAAACCTTAAGCACCTTTTTTTCTTTATATTCTTAGTTGTCACATGACTTCTGTGTCCTCTTTGCTTCCCCTTGCTCTTAGGCTGTGGGCAGATCCCCAAATTGGGCTTGTTGGCTTTTGCTGAAGTCACCAGCCTCAGGAGATTGTAGAGAGTGTACAGTGCACAGCAAGGCTGGGCGTTGCGGTAAATTGACTACAGAGATATAGGCACACTGTGCATTTGCATTGCATCCTGTAATTCTGAAAGGGATGCAAACTCAACAGATCTGCTTCTGTGCTTGGCATTGTCAGTTTGCAATGGCAAAGAAGAGGAACTGGCAGGATCACCAGATATTTCAAAGAAAACTAAGAAATAAAAAGAGGCTACAGTTACACATGTCTGCATAGAAGCACGAAACCACCAAAAAAGCACGAAAAAAATAAAGCAAAAAAAATCTCCCTGCAAGGTAACAGCATAATGTGCTAGTATGCATCTCATACTAGCACATTATTAAAGACTTACCTGAAAATAAAGCCCTCCAGCGGAGCGCTGTCTTGGCTTCCATCTTCAACCGGTTTTCCTTCCAGGTTTGTGGGCTGTGGCCGTTTGACTGGTCGAGCTACTCTTGCACATGTGTGCGGGAGCCGTGGCATGGCTCTCTCAATGGATGACACGCCTTATGGACAGTGCATGTTTAAAAGATATTTACTGTACCTACATGTAAGCCTTATTATAGGCTTACCTGCAGGTACAAGAGAAAAATAAGACTTTACTATCACTTTAAACTTTTAATAAAATGTTCAAGCTATTCGCTATTTTGTAAGATGGGGGGGGAAGAAGCAGATGAGAGAATTTTTTTTAAATGGGTGAAGGTGTACTTTAACATTTAAAACATTATTAAACCCAAAACTAAAAATGTAATGTATTGCAGCCTACCAATTATTAGATGTGCATTAGTTTTCTTTTTTTAGGCTTCTTCCCTTGTTTTCATGTGGTGATTGGACCAGTAACACATCTCCTGTATTAGAGTGTCACCACTCTGGATGAAGGAGCACAGGGGCACCTTTGGACAGCAGCATTGTTGAGGAGGTGGGGGAGGGAGTGCTAAATGCGCTAGGAGATATAGATACACAAATTGAGGCCAAACTCCAACTAATACTTTACAATAAACTGTTTTTTTTCCTTTTGTAATAAAGGTTTTTTTTTTAATAACAGATTATCGTAATCACCACTGGCAGTGGTAAATGGTTTGTCTCATCCCTGTGCAGCTACATATGCAGGAAAGCTTGTTCTTTTAAAAAAACAACAGCAGACCTAAAAAACTAAGGTAGCTATCACATCTAAGAATTGGTTACACAATAGTATAAATGTTTGCTTTTGGGGGTTTAACACTGCTTTAAACAGTAATTGACTTTTGGTAAAGTTTATAGGTAAACCTAGGTATCTGTACTGATATACTATATATGTGTATATTAGCAATTGGAATAAACATTACGTATAGCAATCAAGCAGCATTCACATTTGGTGCACTGGGAAAATGAAGCAAGTTATCCAGTCGGCTGCAGTGGGTACCTGCTGTACTTTTGTTCAAGATACCTTTGCTATACATTTCACAGGTCAGTATCTCTCCTAATTTGGAAACTTTTTGGGAAATGGAGAGAAAGATGTAGGTTGTATTTCTGATACATACTACATGCATAAGTTCCGGTTCACATATATACACCGCATCCAATCCGCATGATATGTGAAATAACATTCCTATGGTGCCTGTTCAAATATGTTCGGTGCACTGGAAGTGCGGATTGAAAAAGAGTCATGTCCAATTTCTGAGCCGTGTGGTCCAGTTCAGGTGCGGATTACAGGCTATTGACTTCTATGGGAACTGTTTCTGAACCGCAAATGTGATCAGTAGTGAACAGGATAAAATCCTGACCTGAATCTGATCAAACTGTCTTTTACCTGATGTAAACCTGACCTGAACTGCTGAACAACTACTGTATCAATTAGGTGTGAAACCTGAGTTTCAATCTGCATCGTACATGTGTGAATCAGCACTAACTCTTTCTGGTTTTGGTACTCTATGAGCCACTGACCTGGAGCAAACAATTTGAATGTTAAAATCGGAACACCTAATAAGTTGCATACTTTTTGCATACTTTTTTTTTTTCGTTTGGCTGAGGGCCAGTTCACACCACATGCAGTCCAGTGGGGTTTTTTTTCTGCATCAAAAAGCGCATGGACTGTAGGTTACATGGATTACAATGTCAAAGTTTACACCATTGCACTGCTTTCCAGTACAGTCAACAAAAGCAGAACATGATGCATTTTTTTCTGTGGTATTGGAACACAGTAAAAATGCATCAAAAACACACCGGAATGCATTAAACAAAAAAAACTAGGAAAATTAAGAAAAATGTAAAATAAAAAAAAAAGGAAAAAACGTATATGGGATGCATAAAAAATGCACCAGAACACATCAAAAATGGGTCAGAAATGTACATGCAGAAAAACGCATCTGGACTGCATTTCTGTGGTGTGAACCGGCTCATACAGTAACCTGTCGGTCAATAGAGAAGAATAAAACTTTTAGCCAGTCAAGATTGTAGGGATTTTGTCATGGTATATGGCCAGATTTGCTACTCTCAGGCTCAGTCTGCAGCTCTACATGTTCAACTTCTGAAAGCAACGTCATTAAAGTTGGGATCTCTCCATAGTCTGGAACGGCTGAGTAATGTACGGGTCACAGGAGTGCAAAACAAAATGCACTCATGCAATCCCCAAGAGAAGTAGACCAAAACAGCTTTGGCCCCGCATCTCCTTTAAAGACAACAGTGTGAAAAACCCAAGCAGAATAAAAATAGATGTGAACGTTCCCTGTACTTACACTATTCCATTTCCACATCGGTCACACAGTGGAACTTTCTGCACAGCTGCACCTCCTGCATGGGGCTTTGAGACTGGAGCTCTTACACTTCTTGTTCCTGCAGGACGGTCTAAAACAAAAGTAAATGTCAGGATTAGTGATGCTCTTTATTTCTGAATATTTCATACCTGGCAGTGAAAACTTACTTTAGGTATGCAATATGAATTCCTTTTAAAAGGCATGTATCTATAATTTCCAAGGCTAAATAAAGTAATGGCCATAATGTAGAAAATAGACATACTAACCAGCATCATCATCAACCAAGTCTTGCAGCACCCTGAAAGAGCCAGACTGCTTGGGCTTGCTTTCATGTTCTGTGTCATCATGAAGGAGCCGATATACATCTGACTGAGGCACAGAGGCGGGTACTGGATCACTGAACGATAGGAAAATGCAATTATCATATACTGTACATCACATTGTGCTTATATTTGATGTAAATCAGGGCCTATTTACAACATTCTGATCTGGTTTGTTGCGTTAAAAACACATTATGCCGCATATAGAAAGCCACATATGAACCGTTCACTTGAGTCACACTGAGATGATTCATAGGGGATGGCTGCAAATACAGAGTTCACTGTGGGGGGAATTTTCACTTTGCAAAGAATTTCCAATCATGTGTAATGGAAATTAAAGCATATAACGTTTGCTTGCACATTATTGGATGATAGCTGTCAGCAGAACTTCACCTCATTCACTAAGCTAAGGGAAAATTCCCTTGCAAAATGAACATCCAATTTGCGTTCAATAAATCAACTCCATAGTAAACATACAGTATGTACTCAATAATAGGCAGGCCCGTGTGCAAATATATTTAAAAATTGTAAATAGAACTAAGATTTTTTTTAATAAATAATTTTAATTTTTCACAACTAAACACATTGTCAGAGCTGATATTTCAATTGTGCATTGATGATCTCTGTATAGTGGCACCTCCACATGTCTGTACATCACTGTAGTTTTTCTGTTAAGATTCTATGGATTCCCAGGTCCTGGGATATTCTTGTATATAACTTTCTGGCTAAATAGCTTGACCTTCCCCTTCCACCTCCTGTGTTAGCCAATGTGGCCACCAGTTATAGGGGTAGGCTAATAACGAAGTACAGAATGTGGGATAAGGCAGCTTCAGGATGCTGACCTGCAGAGTAAGGTATTTAGGGATTCTAGACCTCAACAGAAAATCTGCAGTGATGTTTACACACCAATACCACATTGCAACCTTTTGGATACTGTAATTCAATCTAAATTACATCAGCTCCTTTATTATATCCAGGGACACCTTGAAAATTTGTAAACATAACCCATTAACATTTTCTTTCCATGTGCTTTAACACTTTTGCTGCCAGAGCTGTTTTTGTATTTTTGCAAACATTTAAAAAATCATTTTAGTCCTGAAGATTGCATAAATACCTCCAAAAATAATATATATTTTTGAAAGCAGACATCCTAGAGGATGAAATGGTGGTTGTTCAAATTTGTATGTCACACGATATTAGCAAAAAGGTTTAGGAAATGCAAAATGTCATGTGTGTGTCGGATGGAAGGGCTGCAAAAGGTTTGGGGTGGATTTTATACACTTGGTGTAAACTAATTATTTTGACAATTTAAATTTTTTTAACTTTTTTTCACCTCATAGGGGATTAAAAAAAGTCTCCTTTTGTGATGATTTTTTGGTGACAGGTTCTCTTTAACCATTAGCCGCCCGGCCAATGGCCGTTTGGCGGCTTGAAAAGCGCTGCAGCTTTCCGGGTGCACGCCATTTGGCGTGCTCCCGCACACGCGCGGTTTGCGCGGTTGCAGAGCGACGCAGCAGTGCAATCTGTCACCGCCCAAGCACCTCGGACACGGCCGATGACAGATCCGAGTACCGGCTCCCGTTGCTGGTACCATGTGACCTGCTGTGACCAATCACAGCAGGTCACATGACAGTTGTATACAATGGATGGCTTCATTCATGATGCCATCCATTGTATATTAGTGCCTAGCTGTGAATGGTCACAGCTAATCACATGCACATGTCATGTGATTAGCTGTGACCAAATCACAGCTAAGCACAAAAAAAAAAAAAAAAACTGAATGAATCGATTTCATTCAGGTAAATGCTTGCTTATAGCAAAGTAATTCTTTGCTATAAGCAAATTGTGTAAAAAAAAAAAAAATACTGATCACTTCCCCAAAGTAGTACAGTGTTACTATGGTAACATTGTACTATTTTGGTCATAGTAAAATATGAAAAAAAATCTTAAAAAAAATAAAAAAAAAATGTAATAAAAAATTAAATATAATAAAACGCTGTACTGCACTGGTGACAGTATGTAAAAAAAAAAAATAGTGAAAATAATTTTTTTAATTTTTTAATTTTCCGAAAAAAATTATGACAAAAAAATACAACTTCAAAAAACTCGCCATGCCTCTTATGAAGTACGTCGGACTGTCTACTCTGCAAAAAGGGGTCATTTGGGGGATATCTGTACTGTTCTGACATTCTTGGACCTCAAGATATTAGATTGACCGTCAGTACTTCAGGATTGATCAATATTCAGATCTATACCATAGTTTGTAAACTCTATAACTTTCCTACAAACTAAATAATACATCCTAATTTGGGTTATTTTCACCAAAGACATGTAGCAGAATACATCTTGGCCTAAATTTATGAAGAACAATTATTTATTTGTAAACTTTTATAACAGAAACAAAGAAAAATGTGTTTTTTTTTTTTTTCAAAATTTTTGGTCTTTTTTTGTTAATTTAGCAAAAAATAAAAACCCCAGCGGTGATTAAATAGCACCAAAAGAAAGCTCTAGTTGTGTGTAGAAAATTATAAAATTTTAGTTTGGGTACAATGTTGTATGACCGCGCAATTGTCATTCAAAGTGTGAGAGCGCTGAAACCTGAAAACTGGCCTGGGCAGGAAGGTGTAAAATTGCACGGTATTGAAATGGTTAATGAGACAGCAGGTGTCTAAAAGACCCCTGATGCCTCACCTGTCCTTCATTTAATCTAATGCAGTGCAGATCGCACTACATTAGATTCTTCCCCAGACATACAGGCCTGTTAGGCTACGTTCACACTAGCCTTGTGTGCAGGCGGCAGAGAGGCGTTTGGGAAGCGTTTTTACCGCTTCCCAAACGCCTCTGCCAACTCTGCACATTACAGCACATGGTGCTGTTCTAACAGGAGCGTTTGCGTCGCGTTGCGTCGCGGCAAAACGGACGCCTCTGGTCGAGTCAGGAGGCTTTGAAGCCTCCTATTCTCGTCTATGGTGCCGCTCCGCAAACGCCCGGCCGGCGTTTGCGGTGCGGTTGCGACGCGGTTGCGGGGCGTTTGCGGAGCGGTAACACCACTCAAATGCATTATAGGCGTTTGTGGGGCGTTATTAACGCTCAGCAAACGCCTAGCAACCGCCGCTAAACCGTGCATGCGGCGTTTGCGGAGCGTTTGCCGAGCGTTAAAAACGCTCCGCAAACACCGGACCAACGCTTGCCAAACGCTATAGGGGCGTTTGGCAAGCGTTGGCAAAACAGCCTAGTGTGAACGAGCCCTAAATGTGACACAGGGACCTGGAAGTGGCATTTTACACACATCACTGCCAGGTCAGCAAGAAGAAGGGAAGAAGACTGGACACATATGTCCACTCAGCTCCCTCCTCTCTACCCGGTGGCACCCACCATGCTGGTCCCGGGTGTGCTGATGGCAGCCTTTACTGGGGGGATTAGGAAGTAATCGGTTGGAATTTTTGTGATTATCGCATGTGTAATAATGCATTCTTGTTGGGGTACCGTTTTTCCCCTTAAGTTTACATGAATTGAATAATTCCTTATTTGTAGCATGCAGTTGTGTTTTTCTTTCTAAATATGAATCTATACATTTGAAATTAAATATATTATGTACCTTGCCATTGGTTTATCCCCTATGATGGTCGACACCTGCCCTTGTAGGCTCTCCATAATATTGTCATCAGAATAGAGTTGCATTGGTGTGTTAAACTGGGGCGTGAACAATCTTGACACCAGGGAGCTCCATTTCCAAGGGAATGTTAGGTGCAATTCTAGAGGCAGCTTTGAGCTCACCAGGATCTATAGTGCCGACAGTGCTTGCTGTGGAAGGAGTGCTGCGTCCACTGCCAGGATCAAAGCCTGAAGGGGTGCTGCTTCCACTGTGACAGTGAAAGAGTAGGGTGGTAATAGTGAAATAGAAAAGAGATGCAAGAGTATTAGAGGATGTGTCTACAAAATGCTCAGAGTGAATACATGCAGTTAAAGGAAAATAATAGAGATTTATGTGCGCTGTAGATTATGCACAGATTAGATGAATAGATCAAATGCCATGCAAAGCAGTGCCTGGGTTGGATGCAGTATTTTTAGCATATTCTAATATAAATGCAGCTTGAAAGGTATGTTATAACTCAACACATTTAAAAAAGCATAAAGCAGCTAAGATGCTGTATCACTATTTCTTTAGGCAGTCAGGTATTGTGACAAATAATTGGGCCAGTGGGGAAATCACTGCATCGCTGGAGTCAAGAGAGGGGAGTTCACTTTTGATGAGCAAATAATGTGTCAAATTCCAAAAAAGTAAGACATTAATTAGAATAATCAGCAGATTTACCTAGTTAATTCAATACTATAGACATCTAGGAATAATGTGGCCGTGACTCGGAATACTCTAAAAATGTCATTTTCAAACCTAAAGTGACACTGGTTTTAAAAAAAATCCAAACAAGTATGTATTCTTTCTAAAAAAAAAAAAAAAAAAAGAAAGTATTCTATTGCTGTCAGCCTCCTCCAAATCTCAAAATTATGTTAACATTTTTTTTTGTTGCCGCTGTGATTCCACTTCCTGTTAGAGGGTGGCTGAGTTTGGCTATGCTCCTAAAATAGACTAGGGACTATGGACGTTGGTATTGTAGTGTGCATATTGCAGTGCACATGACCGCAACTAGCGTGAACTTCTTGTTTCAAGCAAACACAAGTGAGCTAGAAAAGGAGAGGTTCAGGAGTACTTGGAGGACATGACAAGGAGTCAGAAAAACAGTAAAAAATGTAATGAAAAAATAGATTACAGGGCAATTAAGTTGGTTATTTTTTGGACTATAGGGAGATCATTTAGTGTTACTTTAACAAATACTCCTCCTTCAGTTAATTATCAGATTTCTTTCATTTGTAACTTTTTTGATATTGGCAACTGTTTATATACACATTACGCTGATTGCTGTTATCATGCACACAACACACATAACTACAATCAATTTAACCTGCTTCTGCCAGGGAGTATAAAGGGCTTAGGCCTGATATTATGCTTGTGTTCAAAGTATCCCAAATCCTGTTGGACAAAAAATGTTTGTTATAATTCAGCTGTTATTTAGTTCAATAAGTTAGGAGCAGAAATGTTAACATCAACCAGTTAAATACAACACAAAACAGTAAAAATTAATAAAAAATTATTGGTAACAGAACTGTCAATGTATGGGTCTGTGCTCGTGTAAAGTATGCTTACAGTAGGGGTTTGTTTCATCCTAAAGAATGCTAAAGTTGAAATATCTTTTTATGTTTTGGATAGAGTGGGGAACAGATAAAAACTGTCAGATCAAAAAAAACAGTAGCTCCTAGTAACCTTGGTACCTGGGACACAAAGAAGGCTGGGTACTGCTGGCAATGGCAGTAAACAACAAAAGCAAGAAGTGTGTAGGGCAGAAGATGCCACAGCTGCTCAGGAAAATGAACCACCAGAGATAACCACTGAAATTCAGATTAAAACTGGGACATCAAAATTCATGAAATTTAGTCCTTTTTTTATTCTCTTTGGTATCTCTGTCCCCTTTTGAAGATTTATATTCTTGTCCTAGTGACTGTTGTTACCAACACATGGGATCTTTCCCATGATAAATTCATAGAAAAAATTTTAGTTTTTCGATATAGCTGGAAAATATTAAAACCTCTGGCAGGTTTTTATTGTTGTCTATGTACCCATATGGGAAATTATCCTCACTTGCTTTCCCAGTAACAGTGGTCACAGGCACAGGGATGTCTTCCCAACAAAAATCACACAGACATTTTAACTCTTTACCACTCTTTGCAAAACTAAAAACAAATAAAAAAAAGTTTTGTCAGGAGTTATTGTTATTATCAGATTGCATAAGGCCCCTTTCACACGGGCGGTCTCCGTCAAGCGAATCCACATGTGCAGCGGGAGATCTGTCAGCTGATCCTTGCTGAGCAGGCGGGTGACAGGTCCGTGTCTACTCTACTTGTGCAGAGCGAACATAGACACAGCCTGATGTTCTCTATGGTGCGGTCAGATGTAAATGGACCACCTGTCCATTTAGACCCAATGGACAACCAATCGGGTTGACTGATGGGGAACGGATCCCCATCCAATTGTTTTTAGTGGATAGGATTGATTTGGATGTCGACAGGTGTAAATATTTACACCTGTTGCTCCATAGAGGAGAATGGAGGGTCCGAATGGGTCCACCTAAAAAACTGACAGGAGCACCCGATTCATCCTCCTGTGTGAAAGTGGGCCTAAGTCACATAGATATACACCCCTGCTTTGTGCATTTTTTTCAGTATTTGTTTCAGTACCACTATTTTATTCTAGCTTTTATATAAACTGGACAATAACAACATTTGTTTGAAAAGACACAGTATATTTCTTGATGATACGAGTTGACTATTAAATTGTAATGTCAGATTTCCATGCAGAAAAGTGCTTGCTGGCATGCATGTAAATGACTTACATTTCATCTGCATTAGGAATAAGACCCCTCATCTGTCCGTGGAATGCATCTTTGATGTTGCCGGATGAATATAGCCCAATTGGGGTATTATAAGAGGAACTCACTACCTGCTTTTTGTCACCAATGTTTGCTCCTGCTACAAATGGTTGTGCTCTTCGGTTATGAGCAGTGCCAATAGGTTTGAACTCCTGTATACATTTGGATAAAACACACCACACTGCAGTTCATGCAGATTAAACACCACAAGCGAGCCACACACATTGTGCACACTGTACAATGTTTGTTTACAAATGTCAAATATAACCTTATGGTTTTAAAGCATATCTAAACCCCAAAACAAAAATGTACTACAGTGCAGTTTTTTAAGTCCTTAGAAGTAGTGTCTGTATTTAAACTAAAAAAAAAGTAAATATTTGCACTTAGGTTATCAATGAAAATTACTAATGGAAAGCCACATGTACAGTACTTTTGATACCCAATATCAAACCAATTTAAAGAAATTGTACCATGCTAACAACGCATTATCCAGAAAATGAACAGTTAAGAATTAGCTAAGCACTGTGGAAAACTGATTTTGAAAAATACTACTGTATCACAATATAAATGAAAAAACACAATTCCAGTAGATATACATAAATGAAAAGGTGCACATGTCAGTGAGTAATTGGCACTAATTAAGCTGGATAGGTGAACACACTGCAAAATTGTGAATAAATGACAAAAGCCCAAACAAATTTCTTCAAAAGTGCTGTATTCAATGAAACGGTACCAATCAGAGAAATTGTAAGTGCAGCTCTTTTTCAGACTAAGTACAGTCCATAGCACTTTCTGTGCATTGAACTGAAATCTCAAAGAATGGCTTTCTAAGGGCTCGTTCACACTAGGCTGTTTTGCCAACGCTTGCCAAACGCCCCTATAGCGTTTGGCAAGCGTTGGTCCGGCGTTTGCAGAGCGTTATTAACGCTCGGCAAACGCTCGGCAAACGCCGCATGCGCGGTTTAGCGGCGGTTGCTAGGCGTTTGCCGAGCGTTAATAACGCCCCACAAACGCCTATAATGCAGTTTGGTGGTGTTACCGCTCCGCAAACGCCCCGCAACCGCGTCACAAACCGCACCGCAAACGCCGGCCGGGCGTTTGCGGAGCGGCACCATAGACAAGAATAGGAGGCTTCAAAGCCTCCTGACTCGTCCAGAGGCGTCCGTTTTGCCACGACGCGACGCGACGCGACGCAAACGCTCCCGTTAGAACAGCACTATGTGCTGTAATGTGCAGAATTGGCAGAGGCGTTTGGGAAGCGGTAAAAACGCTTACCAAACGCCTCTCTGCCGCCTGCACACAAGGCTAGTGTGAACGTAGCCTCAAGAGAACTTTCACAGGTATCTCCTGTTACCAGCAGAACTGTTGTGTGGTCCTGATAACAGTAAATTCTTGCTGTCACCCTAAATTAGGAAGTGTGTTACTGGCGAAATCACAATGTGAAAATAAACAGGAGACAAAAATGAAAAAAAAAAAAACAAATGTAGCCAAAACACTTACAGACTGATATGTGGATATATATAACAATTTTTTTAAATTTAGATATGCTTTAAATAGTATATAACATGTTTTGCACTCATCTCCCTTAACTTGTTATGCTACAAGGATATAAGCATGCATATTTGCATTTCCATGCTTAAAAAATATGTCTGCATTGTTTCCATTTAATGCCCATTAATACCATTAGAAGCATTGCTGTTTTGAGCAATATTTCAGAGCTTAGTAGCATTGCGAAGGTTAGAATTTGATTGTGCAAAAATGGTGTTGAATATATGGTGATACTCGTAATTTTAGGTCTAACATTTGGACATAAACCATGCCAACCTAGGTTGGGTGGAAACAGAAGGTCACAATTACAGGCCGCTTGGGGAGGGGGGTCTGGTTAGCCAATATTACTGCTTTGCACTACATTATTGCTTCTTTGCATGCTAACTGTTTCAGGCAGCATACAAGAATGGGCATCAAGCATTTTGGGCTTGCTTTAATAAACCTTTTATTTAGACTTTGTCTACTTCTAATACCCAATCGATTTTAGGAGGATCAAAAAACATTTGCTGATTATATAAAGGTGACAGGGGTTAGTTAAATATTTCCTCTTTAGGTAAAACAGCTTAATGATGAAAGTCTTATAATCTAAACTCTGAATTTGAAAAAAAAAAAACCAAAAAGTATTTCTTGCCATAGTCTGTCCAGTAAACCATTAGTCTACTAGTGGCATATTTAAGATACACAACCAAAAATGAATTACAAAACAGATACACCAGTGGATATTTTTACCTGTGGTTCAGCCTCAAGGTTCATTTTATAAGGATCTTCACAAATTTGTGGGGACCACATTCTAGTTTCCGCTCTAGAAGCAAAAAAAAAAAGAAAAAAACATTCAATATACTATATGTTTATTTTTATTTTACAATGTTGTCACAGATAATTCTTAATACAACTTATTGCAGAAATTTGGTAGATATGAAAATAAATACTTTATACTATGAATATATTTTTTTAGCAGCCTGTTATATCTCACAAATGTATGGTACTTTGTATATGGATGATAATTTAATCTTCAAATGTATGGTGCTGCACTTGTTCCAAGGTAGTTCATAATATCATTGCAAGCTCTGTGTATATCTTCAAGGACAAACTATTCATGTAAAAATAAAAAGCAAAAACAGAGCACACAGACTCAGTACAGGTAAGACCAATTTTCAATAATAAAAAAATCAATAGATCATAAAAATAATGTGATTGGTGCAAATCACCAGGAACAGCTCATTGAGAGTAGTGCCATGTCCCACCAACAGATGTGAATGCACTGTCAATGAGGAGCAGTCAGTAGGAGAGAAAGCAATCAATATTAACAATCTGCTGTGGATGCTGAAGAAGCAATAAGGAGAGCAATTGCAGTATAGTCTCTGGATGGAATCCTAGGAAATAAAGTACCTTCATTAAACTAACTTTGTCTACATCCGGCTCCATGACAGTTATGACAGCTCAGCTAGCCCAATCAATCCTTCTGCCTCACTGTAAGGTGTCCCTGGCTTTGGATGCTTTAGAGCACTTCTGGGCCCCATTTTATGATCAGTGTGAGCTTATATAAAAGTTCACAGGACTTCCTTACCTCCACTATGATGAAGGTGCATGGACCCTGAGATATATTAGTATTGTGAAGTTACTATATCACCTCATAGACAGACTCAGTCCCTTCAGGCTCTATCTTAGGAAATTTTGTAATTGATCTTGTTATGGTTTCTCCAGCATCCACCTCAGATTATCCATCCAGATTGCTTTCTCTCCCACTGCCAGATTCTCAGTGAGAGTGCATTTGCATCTGTTGGTGAAACATAGTATTCCTTTGGATGAGCTGTTTTTGGCCGTGTGCACTGATCATGTCACTTTTATGTAGTGTAGTTGCAATTTTATTTTTTTTTATTATTAGAGTGGTCTTACCTGCAGTAACCAGTGCTGTGTTTTGTCAATGATAATTTGGAGAAGAGGCTGAATTTCTATAATTTGAAAGATGACCACAATGGGTTGTATATCTGACATTGCTCTTTGATACATAAATCATTGCTGATCTTTGGAAACTTAAATCTGGAGCTCTTCTCTACAGTAAACATTACCCTGTGATGAGTGGTGGAGACTCTAGATGCACAAAAAGGACATCAGTAATGAAGAATTATTACCTGTCAATCTTCAGGCAAAGTTGGTCTGTTGCAGCTTTAATTCTGTCCTGCGCCTCTGCATGTGTCATGTTCTCCGTACCAAATCCATCAATTGCAAGTATTACATCTCCCGGACTTAAATTAGCAAGAGAAGATTTACTTCCGGGCGTGATCTAGAACAAGAACAACAGTTTTTTTTATTATGCTTACAGCATTAGATGTTCATTCATTCCATTGGCTAGAATATTAATTTATTCTGGCCATTGGAATGAATGAACACTCAAATGCTAAATGTGCTTAGTGATTAAGGGCATTTCACAGGTGTTTAGGTGTGTTCAGAGTTTTTTTCCCCACCAAAATGCTTCTCCCCTGAATGCACAAGTGATGGGGTTTTTTTTTCTGCCTGTAAATGCTAGTAAACGCTCATGTGTGCATGGACACATAGGCTAACCTAGAGGAGCTTTTAGAGACAGAAAAAATGTGCCAAACACCTGTTACAGCGGCATTTTTGATGCCCAGTGTGCATGAGCCATTAACATGCAGATTGATGACTGTGGGGGAGATTTAATAAGGCTGGTTCACTCAGAATCTGGCACAGCTGTGCATGGTAGCCAATCAGCTTCTAATCTCAGCTTGTTCGATTAAGCTTTAGCAATAAAACCTGGAAGCTGATTGGTTTCTCTGCATAAGTGCATGATATTCTGAGTGAACCAGCTTTAATAAATAAACCTCTCTGTGTCCCTGATGTGCATTGGATTGAGGAATCTAAAGTCAAATATATATTTTTTTTAAGTCAAATAAGCCCCAATGTCATTTAATCGACCATCCACATACACACATATATGAGCAGCTAGGACTCATGTACAATATGTAAATACAGTAAATGCCCATTATGTAGTACATTTTTGGTATTCCTTTACATGCTGCTGCCCAAGGTACAATAAAAATTCTTAGTGCCATTATCTGTTCTAATCTGATGACCTGCAACTTTTTTTGAATGTGTCCTCTATTCACAATTTTGGATATTGTAGATATTTTGCAGTTTGTGCACACGCTTCTAAGACTAGATCTATTTGTTAATTATTAATGTGTACTTTTAAAGTGTCAGGTTTTATTGTGGAAGATGGGAAAGTGATTACAGATGGTAGAAATGATTGGGTAAAGAAAGGTATAGCTGAGATACAACAACTGAGTGTATATTGGGAAGTATATACATCTGTGGCTTTTTAAATTGCAAATAGTGTGTGTGTATAAATAGTCAAATAGTTTGTTAGCTCTCATGTTGATGAACTGAGCAGACTAGATCCTGAGCCATGGGGAGCCGAAAAGAACTGTCAAGAGACCTGGGTAACAAGATAATGGAACTTTATAAAGATGGAAAAGGATATAAACAGGTATCCTAAACCTTGACTATGCCAGTCAGTACTGTTCAATCACTTATTAGGAAGTGGAAGGTTCAGGGATCTCTTGATACCAAGCCAAGGTCAGGTAGACCAAGAAAGATTGCAACCACAACTGCCAGAATAATAGTCTGGAATACAAAGAAAAACCCATGGGTAACCTCAGGAGAAATACAGGCTGCTCTGGAAAAAGACGATGTGGTTGCTTTGAAGGAGCACATTACGACAGTACTTAAACAAAAATGAGCAGCATGGTCTAGTAGCCAGAAAGAAACCTTTACTGCGCCAATGCCACAAAAAAGCCCGGTTACAGTATGCCAGAAGCGTGGTGACGTAATTTCAGGTACGGCGCAGGATGCCATATTAGTACAACCTTGACTCAGATGAGCTTTCTTTTTATTTATTTTATGTGAGTGCATTTTAGGTTGGTTGGCCTATTGAATAAATACATTTTTACACTATGAGAGCTCCTTCTTTTCCATATTTCTGAGCATCCTTTTTGGGCTATATGATCATTGTATGGGACAAGTTTTTTCTCTGTGTAAAACGTGTGGAGATCAGGAGTCTCGACTGACAAGTCATTGCTGTCATCTAAAGTGCTTTTGACTTGTATGCTATACGGGTCTACTTGTGAGCGTGCATAACAGAAGATGGTAGAGCACAGATGGTGATATTGCTGGAAGATTCACAGGTGTCTGTTTTGTGCAGCATTTTTATGATCTGGATCACAGGTGGTTTTTTATTCAGTACTGGACTATTTATTGGACTTTATAATTTGTATTTTATATTTACTGTCATGTATATTTTCTGTCAAGTACATCTGAAGAATTGCTACGTTTATAATTTTTTTTGTGTTTCACTTTTATCTGGGTTTATAGGGCAGCCAGGATGTTTGTTTTAATTCCTTTACCTTATTATATATTCCTTTTTTCAGATTTTTCTTTTTCTTTGATTTTCATTTCATCTGTATGTTCTATTGAGCTATATATATAATCTAATTGCAATTTAGCACATTCTTGTGGGTTGGATTAGCTTTCCATGTGTTTATGTTCAACTCTATTATTTACTATTAAAAGAGGTGGTCATTACCTTGACTTTGTCACTTTGGTAGTCACAAGTTTACACACTTTAAGTGTTGGTGTAAGAAGGGCCAGCAGTATTTCTTTTTACCCCAGTTGCCCACAGCTAAGGATTAACAACCCAGGTCGACACCTTTCTATCCTTCATCAGAACATTATTTTTCTTTTAAATTTTTTTTTTTTTTTAATTCAAGGGTTGGGCTTTAATGCTCAGTACAATTTAAAAATATGAACATAGCTTTTTAAATAAGAAGTATCTAATAAGTAGATGTTTACTTATATAATATTATTAATAATAATAATAATAATAATAATATACAGGATTTATATAGCGCCAACAGTTTGCTCAGCGCTTTACAATATAAAAGGAGACAAAACAGCAATGATACAGTTCAATACAAGAGGGTTAGGGCCCTGCTCCTTGGAGCTTACGATCTAAGAGGGAGGGACTGGTGGCACAAAAGGTAATAACTCTGGGGGATGAACTGATAGGAGAAATTGAAGATTCCGTTATTAGCTGAAGGCAAGATAGGCTTTCCTGAAGAGAGGCTTTTATTTTTTTAAAATGTAATGTCTTTTATTAAATTTTGTTTCAATACATAGATCAACCATATATAATTTCTCAAAACAAATAAAATCCAGCAAACTTCTTTACCCCTACTTCCACCCCCCCTTATCCCTCCCTCCCAATAAATTACCCCTGTCCAAGTAATTCTTTCCATTTCTCTCCTACCCTGTTTACCAATCTCAGTCTAAACTCTATATTCTCTCTTCACTTTGCGACTGTCCATTTATTCAGTTTAATTCTTCAACTCTACTACTGGGGCACCCATCACTTCAAGGTATTTTCCAGATATCTTAAAATCATACCACCTACTCCAATCTTTTCTAAATTTTTCCATTCTATCTTCATCTATATAGCTCCTCCATCTTATTTATATACTTGATCCTGCCTATCCAGTCCCTCATTTTTGGAGGGTCCTGTGCCTGCCAAAATTTGGGGATTAAACCTTTTGCAGCGCTGATGAGATGGTATAATATGCTATTTTTATATTGTTTCACTGACATCTCTGTCCTATAAAAAGGCTCACCCACGGGCCCTTTTGAATAGTTATCCCCAAACTCTACTGTATATATTGAATTATGTCTTTCCAATACCCCTGTATTTTTGAACACTCCCACTATATGTGGGCCATTGTCCCCCTTGCCCCACATCCCCTCCAACATAGTGGTGAAATTTTTTCTTTTTATGTGCCACACTCGTTGTATAATTCCATCTAGTTAAACAGTTATAGTTTATTTCTACTGTGTTCATATTCACCACCCCGTGCATCAACTTAAACATTTTATTCTTCTGTTGCTCATTCATTTTTGTACCCAATTCTCTTTCCCATTTCTCTAAGCATAGCGGAGGTTCAGATCCCATCCATTCAATAAAGATCTTGTATATCCTAGAGGTTACATGTACTATCTGAGAATTCAACATTTTTTCAAATGGGAGCATCCTCAGTGGTTGGGGGAGCGTTGAGACAAAATGTCCTAATTGGTCATTTCTAAATTCATCTACTGTACCAAATAAATCTTTTTTACTCTTAAACTCTTGAAAAGTACATAACTTCCCCTTATCTACTATATACCTTAACCGTACATTTCTATCTTTAAACCATTTCCCAGAAATATTATCATTCCTTGGTGGAAAAAAAGTCTGTATCCACCAGGGGCATCAACAGTGAATTGTGCTTCCAGCCCATTGATTTATGCAGCCCATTGACTTATGCAGCCCATCCCATAATCTCAACACCTCCCGTGTCAATGTACTACTATTTTCATCTAAATCTCAAAATTTTCGTGGGATCCAGATAATCCTATCTAATTGTGTGTTACTTAATATACCTTGCATTGTAACCCAACTTGTGTGTCCAATCTACCACCCGTGATAATAACACCGACATATAATAATTCCTCATACTTGGCAGATTTAATCCTCCTTTCTCTTTGTTGTTACATAAAACCTTATACTTAATTCTTGGTTTCTTATTAACCCATATAAACTTCAGCATAAATTTTCTTATTATCCTAAAAAAAAAGGTCCTGGTAAATATATTGGGAGTATTTGAAACTTATACAGGATTTTTGGGACTATCACCATCTTAACCAGATTAATAGATTAATATATCCAATCCACGAGACCCGCCCTATTGAGAGCCTTCTCAATTCATCTTTAATTTAATTTATTAATGGGATATAGTTAACTTAATAAAAGTTCTTCATTGAGGGGGTTAACTTTATTCCCAGGTAGCTTAAGTCCCTCTCCCTCCATGTAAATGGGAAGTCTTTTTGCAGGGTCTGCATCTCTACCTTTGAAACGTTGATATTTAAGATCTCAGATTTTGAAATAGCAACGGGTATAATGTACACCCCTGTCAGGTACCATTAAAGATTTTAAAGGTCTCTGATAGGGACCCATTCACCTTGATTGCTGCAGAGGGGCTATTATAGAGCCATTTTATCCACCTTACCATTTTGGTCCCTATACCTAATATCTCAAGAGTATTTATCATAAATCCCAAATCTACCCTATTGAAGGCTTTTTCTGCATCAATCGACAGTATAATTGTCGGCTGCTTTCCTCTTTTTGCTTTTTGTAAGAGGAGCAATGATTTTAGAGCATTGTCTCTCCCTTCCCTCCCTGGAT